TTAGACCGTCATACTCATTCACAATAATGGTTTTATACAATATTTGTCCTTATGGTATTGAGTTGATTCACTCAGCATAATGCTCTTCAGTCCCTCTCAAGTTAGGTAATCATTTACAAAATCATTATTCCTCCATGCTGCATAGAATTCCATTGTATGAATGTACCATGATTTCTTAATCCATTTGATTGTGTTTGGACATCTGGACTGCTCACTGTTATGTTCTTGCAAAGGTGAATAACACTGCCATGAAAACACAGGTGTACAAGTGTCTGTCTGAGCCTCAGTTTTCATTTTCTGGAGGTATATTCCAAGCAGTGAACTCGACGGGTCATATGGAATTTCTATACTTAGCTTTTTGAGGAAGCGCCAGGCTGCTTTCCAGAGTGGTTGTACCATTTTACAGTCCCACCAACAACATGTAAGAGTTCCTATTTCGCCACATCCTCTCCAACATTTCTTACTTACTGCCCTGTTAAACTTTGCCACTGTTACCGGCGACGGTACAGCATTGTGGTTTTGATTTGCCTCTCTTTTACTATCTTTTAGAACGCTGAGCACGCAGACACTAGGTGATGACATTGTGCTATTACTACTTGAACTCACTGTCACTAAGGTTCATTAAGGACCCTGTATGATCTCGTGGGTTAACAGATGTGCTATCAATCTAAAAATAGGTGGTTTAAATCCACCAGTTTATCTGAAGGAGTAAGACATGTAATCTCCTCTCCCGCAAATTTACAACCTTTGAAAACCTACTGGAGAGGTGAGCTTTGAGCTAACTCCAACTGGATGGCTCACACAACCAACAACAATAACCATCAAGGCAAAATCATGCGGAATTTAAAGGACAGTAAAATGAAATTCTTTTAAAGTCAGTCACAATGTATTGGGCTTTTCATTTACCTAGTTTTCATCATTTTCAACTCTGATTAATTCTAGAAAGATTGCAATGTTTGCTGTGTGGTCAGCATATTGCTGTTCTTGTTAGAGGCTTCAAGTCAACTACTATTCATAGGAGTCCTGTGGATGACAGATTGGAGTCTTGTCCCGTCCTGTGCCATCCTTACAGTCCCTGCCATGCTTGTCTATGTCAGTCACTGTGTCAGTCCACCTAGTTGGGGGTTTTCCTCTTTCTCTAACTCCACACATTCCTCAGCATGTCTTTTTTTCAAGGACTAGCTAACAGATGCTGCCCTGGATGTGCTCACCAAGTTGTGCCAAGAAATCTGGAGAACAACCACTTGGCCAACTGACTGGAAGAGATCTATATTTGTTCCCATTCCAAAGAAGGGTGACACAAAAGAGTGTGGAAACTACAGAACAATATCATTGATTTCACATGCAAGCAAGATTCTACTGAAGATTATCCAAAAACGATTAGAACAGCACATCAGCAGAGAACTGCCAGTAGTCCAGGCTGGGTTTAGACGGGGTTGTGGTACTAGGGATATTATAGCTGTTAGATGGATCTTAGCTGAAAGCAGGGAATACCAGAAGAATGTATATCTGTGTTTCATTGATTATGGAAAGGTGTTTGACTGCATGGATCATAACAAACTGTGGCTGACTCTGAGAAGTATGGGAATCCCAGAACATTTAATCGTGCTACTGCGAAACCTATACTTGGACCAAGAGGCAGTTGTCAGAACAGAGCAGGGTAACACTGCATGGTTCAAAATTGGGAAGGGTGTACGCCAGGGATGTGTCCTATTGCCATACCTTTTCAACCTGTATGTAGAGCAGATTTTCCAAGAGGATGGGCTCTATGAGGAGAAGTGCGGCGTCAGGATTGGTGGAAGATCTAGTAACAATCTGCATTATGCAGATGACACAACACTGCTTGCTGAAACTGAGGAGGACCTCATGCACTTGCTGCGAAGGGTCAAGGACTGCAGCCTTCAGTATGGACTGAGGCTCAACGTCAAGAAGACAAAGATTCTCACCATTGGACCAATTGGCAGCATCAGGATGGATGGCGAAGAGATTGAGATTGTTCACAGCTTCGGTATGCTCGGCTCCACGGTCAACACTCTTTGCACCAGCAGCCAGGAAATAAAAAAACGTATTGCGATGGGCAAGTCTGCTGTTAGGTACCTCTCTAAAGTACTGAAGAGCTCTGGAGACTAAGGTGTGTCTGATACTGGCCATGGTCTTTGCCATCACTTGTTATGCATCAGAGAATTGGACAATGACTAGGGAGGATAGAAGGAGAATTGATGCTTTTGAGCTGTGGTGCTGGAGAAGAGTATTGAATGTACCATGGACTGCCAAGAAAGCAAAGAGATTCATCCTGGAGAGGGTTAAACCAGTCTACTCCTTGGAGGCAAGGATTCTGGGGCTTCGTCTGATATACTCTGGACATGTTGTAAGGAGGGGCAGGTCCTTGGAGAGGGACATCATGCTTGGGAGGGTGGAGGGACAGCGCAGAAGGGGAAGACCCTCTATGAGGTGGACAGATTCAGTGACTGGGGTAATCGGGATGGGTGTGTCAGAGGCAGTGCGACTGGCACAGGATAGAGCAGGGTTTAGGGCTGTTGTACACAGGGTCGCTATGAGTCGCAAGTGACTCGATGGCACATAACAACAACAACAGCATGTCCCTTTTGACATGTCAATGTGTAAATAAGACAAAGTATTATCATCTTTACCTCTAAGAGTAACCTGGTTGCACTTCCTCTGAAAGAAACTTGTTTCATCTTTTGGCAGTCCATGTGATATTTAGCACGCTTCGCTAAGACCACAATACAAAGGCATAGAGCTGAAATAATTAAGAATTGTAGGGGTAGTATTTTGGATGGAGCAGGAAGAATCAAAAGATGATGGATGCAATACATAAAGTCATCATATCAAAAAGAATTGGTTGACACTGTACCGTTTCAGAAAGGAGTATCTTATCAAGATCCAAAGGTGATGAAGGAAGGCACTCAAGCTGTACTGAAGGCACTGACAAAAAATAAAGGCTTCCAAACTGCTGATGTTAGTGCACTGTTGTTAGGTGCCGTTGACTCAAGTATGACTCATGGTGACCCCTGTCCTATCCTGCACCATCCTCATCATCTCTGACACACTGAGTCCACTGCTGTAGTTATACTATCAATCCTTTTCATCAAGGGTCTATCATTCTTTTGCTGACCCTTCACTTACCAAGCTTGATGCCCCTCTCCAAGAAATAGTCTCTCCTAGCAACATGTCCAAATTAAGAGAGAGAATGCTTCACC